CGTGAAAGTCGAGCGCGCGACTGTCGTAAAATCGATTTTCGTATTCGTTCGCGCGACGTAGCCAGCGCGCGCTCTCTCAATTTTTTTCCTCTCCCGCTCTCGCATTTTCTTCGTGAGGACGTGGGTAGCTGCCGAGAGAAAAGAGATTTCTTCGCATCATTTAGATTATCGACGACGCATTTACACGGATTTCCGCGGCGTCGCTGATGACGGGACCGGCTTTTTTTTTACGAGGCGGAAAGCGCCTCAACGAGCGACAAAAAGCCCCGGTCGATCCGAACTGTAAAAAGATGCGTTATCAATCTCGCTGGATATGGGACGAGGATAAAACGAAGAACACACGAGGAGTGAGGGGAGACCGCAGGTGTGCCCGCGTTACGAAGTAGTCGCAAACTTTTATTGCGACGTTTGTAAGGGATGGGGGAAGAGTGACCCAGAAAGTGAGAGACGGTCTAGGAATTCTCTAGGATACCTATACGAATCCGTGTCGCGCTTTGAAAAATCTCGACATACACGGCACTAATGGATAAGTCTACGAAAAGCGCAGGAGTCGTTGTGAAATAAGAATATAGTTTATAGATTCAGAGAGCGAAACGCGAGAGAGGAAGCGTCGCGTCGCTCCCCAAAAGGCAGGAAGGGAGAGAAAGGGAGAGAAATGAGGAGTATGATAAAGAAAATGAGACAGTGGAAACTGGAGTGTTATAGGTGTCTGCTCAAAAGAATACTGCAGAGTGAGGCGTAATAAGCGAGACCGCGAAAGCAGATAAGACGACTGTAAAAATATGGTGCTGCATAAAGAGATCGTGAATGGACGAGTTAGTAGTAATAAAGAACGCAGTGCGAGGGAACGCAGACGTATCTTGTTATCGTCTTAACAGAAATGATCACGTCATTACGCCATTAACGGCATTTATTTGTGCCGCGCGTTAACAATACAAGAAACGTGTAAGTGAGAAAAGTGTCGAACAAAGCAGCGCGCGATCTCGAGATAGCCATCTTACAAAGTGAAACGGATGAAAAACGAAGCGCGTACATTTAAGATATATCTATAATGGTCGGATGCGTTCTCAGAAAAGCCAATACCGCAATGTAGAAAAAATAAATGGTACCTTCAAAGGTGGCGTTAGGACGCGGACTCTTAAAGCGGCCGCTTTTGATCAAAATGCAGCCTCTATGCGCTGGTACTCCGCCGTAAAATCAAACGCGTCTTATTGATGTACGTAATGCCTACGTAATGACAGGGGAGGAAAAAAAAACACTGAGTTATACCGGGACAAATATAATTATATATCTATCTCAAAGAGAGGTCCAGAATAAACGCGGGGAATTCGAGACAACGAGATCGCTGAGATCGCTCGGTCGGGAAAAAGAGCGAGGAAGTTTTCTGGAAAGAACCGAAAGAGCAAAGGAAGGAAACGAGGTCGTTCGCGAATATCTTCCAAAAGTTCTTGCATCATATATGGAACGATATCAAGCAAACGGTATTTTTCGAGCATTCTTGGAGATCTAATATTACAACAAAGCTATTTGTAGTGAAATAAAAAAAATTAATATTTATAACGTGCAATCGTGATCTTCAAATGATTTGATTGAGACTGAATAGCTTTAGAAAATATTAAACGTCTCTAATAGAGGATAGTCTTTTAAACATTAAATTAATACATTATTTATTCATTATTCTATAATCGCAATATTGTTAATTCGCGATTTTGGATAATCTAAACTATCTCTCGTTTACAGCGCTTACTCCATTTTATTGCACAAAAATATATCGTTAGTGCAGCTTTTTAATTTGTCGCTATATAAATCCGAAACTTTCCGGACTTCAATTCCAGCGAAAATACCGTGGTGCGGGCAATTCACCAATTTCTCGCGGACCGCGAGGAAGCCGAAATTAAACATTCATCGCACGGTTCGCTGCGCGTTAATGACCACGAGAAAAAACCAGCAACATATGGCGGGGCGGACATGGTGCCGCAAAGAATCGTTTGCGGAGAGTACAAAGATGAACCTAGGCAGACGGAGAGCTAGAAATAGAGAGAGAGAGAGAGAGAGAGAGAGAGAGAGGAAAAAATAAAGGAAAAAGGGACAGAGAAATAATTATAGCATTATTCGCAGAGGCGCATTGCGGTGGTGTCGGTACAACGAGAGACGGGCAGAGAGAAACGCGTAGAAAAGAACATCGGCAGCGGCCGCTAAACAGAACAACGAGAGTGTGAAAGGAGGAACGAGCGGCGCAAACGTAGAAAGGAAGCCCTCCTTAATAAAAGACAAGGGAATATCAGCGACCTCACGCCTGGTCGTGACAACGACGTCCGCATCCCATTCGCTTCAGCGTCCTTTGAGCGAGAAGCCATCGTCGTCCCCTTCCTGGCTCTTCTCTCTCTCTCTCTCTCTCTCTCTCTCTCTCTCTCTCTCTCTCGTTTGCACCCAGCATTCCCTCACCTATACCATGATCCACCGAGGACGCAACCCCTGACAATCCAGTGCGATCCGACACAGTAGGGAAGGGGAGATTATATTCCGTTGTGTCGTCCCTGTCTTTTCACGTTGCGCCCGCGTACGCTCTCGACTAAACAGGCCATTTCGTCATCACGCGCGCAAGTTTTCATTCGGTGTTATTTTTTAACAATTTTAATCGTTTTCCAAAAGATGCCGATGTCACAATTGCTAAAACGCCAATCGGATTTAATTCAAAAATTCGATATTTGCGTGCAGCTCTCCGTGTTACTCGATCGTGTTAATATTTCGATTAAATATGGTTGAATTCGTCCAAATCTGTATATACGCACAATTGTAATTTTTTATATTGCTGATACAAGAGAAAAAGACGCGATCTCAATCGTAATTTTTTAACAGATAGAAAAGATTCAAAAGATAGAAAAGATATCAAATTTATTTAATCCTCTCTTATACAAAACATATTTTCGTCAGTGTATACACACATTGATAACGATACAGAAAGTACACTTCGATAATGTCGCAGACGATGAGAGAACCAAAATACGTTTTTACAGCAACTTTTATCGTATGTACGAAAACCATAAACGTTTTCGCACGACCCATAAAGTCGAGCGTAAATGTTCCTCTACTTTCAAGTTATAGATACAGGTCCATGCTTCTTCTTACACGACCTATCTCGAGCAACTTCCACGCACGATTCGCAAAATATGCTTGCGCGTATCTATTTTAGGAATGGCTGCTTGTGCAGGAGGAACAGTTTGCGACTGTATACGCGCGTGTCATGTACATGTGCGCAAACGTGCATTAAGGGCGTACAAGGGATATATGGACGAGAGAGAGAGAGAGAGAAACGGAGAAAGGGATATCGATGCATGCGCATGACCCCGATTCGAATCACCCCCGAAACGCGAATCTCTCCGAGTTCGCAGGCACTCGGAAAATAATTAGACCCATCGAGTTCCGGTACGCGGTCTAATGAGAGGCTTCCTCGGCCGGATGCGACGGAATCTCCGCGATCTCCTTGCGCGGAATGCTAATCGCCCGCAATTACGCGATTGTATTTCGAGAGGGAAAAGCGTGGACAAAAAAGGTACGAGGCAGGAAATTTATATTACACTCGCGCAATCTCCCATAATTTCGGGCGCGTCGCTTTAAACCAAGAGAGCAGATTTTAATGCCATTTTCTTTTTTTTCTTTTTTTTTTTAAACTTGTCACATGCGTAAATGTCAATATATCTCTTAGAAATTTATGTAAAATTATTTTTTTAATCTTTTTACGTATAACAAAAATTAAAAAAAAATCAACGTACATGATAACTATAATTATTATCGTGCTGAGTATCAAGTTATATTTATATGTTGTATTTTTTAAATTTATAATAATATTTTAATACTATCATATTTTTATTCTCTTATTTATCATTATCATTATTTTCTGATTTGCAAGAGTTACGTACCAGAAATGTTACATTATAAAAGACAGAGCTTTATATTTTTCATGTTTACGAGTTCTACTATTTTAATTTACATTTTTCATTTTATTATCATTTTAATTATTTTACCAAGCTTGACGTTAAGTAATAAATGTTACTATAAACTTGTAAAAAAGAGAAGTTTCATTCGTGCATTGAGATTTTTATCGTGCATCATAAAATTTACATCGGATAGAAACAGTTCTAAAATGTTCTAGATTAATCTGCATTATAAGAGGTTCTATTGCGTATACATGCATTACGGAATTGCATAACTGAAATCTTTCACGTCGACGCTGCAGTCAAGTTATGCATTTATCGTTCATTACATGATCATCTTGGCCTCAACATGATAATATCGATAGAGTTTCACAAAGGCAGAAAATGCAATAACGGGTGAAAAGCCAAGTTAACGCGTACCTTCATTTATAGAGGATATAAAGGCAATACTATCGTTAAAATTTCCTACGTCAAAATTGCGATTAAATTATGCAGTCTTTCACAAATTACAAATTTGCTGCTACCATCGCGTGACTCGAAAAGTTTTTAAAGGATTATACTCTTGATTATACTCATATAACATAAAAATGTGAATTCAAATTCGACTAATGTTCGCATTATTTGCATCCATGTAGTCTTTGTGCCGATTAAATCATATCAAATCATAAACAATTAAATCGTGTAATGTATAATCAATTAGTTGTAAAACTGTAAAATTTACAAATATATGTCAAATATACTGATATTTTAAATACACGTATGCCCTGAATTTTCAAAAATAGTGTAATTATTAAATGTAGGAAAAAATAAATTTAATATGTTTGTTTTAATATTATTTAAATTTAATTTCTGCTACAGATTTCATGTTATTTTCCAAATAACATGAAATCCAAAAAATTTTGGTTAATATACACATTTTCATAAATATTTACACTATTTCTCTTTATTATATTTTCAAAAACGAGCATGTCCGAAATACGACTAAATTATTCATGAATCAATTTCCATTCACGGAAAAACTTATCCACGATAATGATTCCCAAATATGAAGCTAGAGAGACTTACGTGTCGCGCCAGATATCTCGGCGAACAGCGCGATCGACAGTAATCCAGCCACGAGGAGGAGCGTGGTCAGGAAGAACGATCTCGAGCTGCAGCCCATCACGGCATCACTACCGATCACCACCCGATTCGCGCAGTAGTCCTCGTCGGATATCACCGACGGCGTGTCTCGAACTCTCGGCGACGCGAGGGACTCGTCTCTTCCCAGCTCAACTGAGCTCGAGGATCTCACTGTCACCCTCGCGGCGAAAACGTCCAGCTGTCATCCGCGCGAAAGAGTCCGCTCGAGGACCACCACCACCGCGTACGTGCCAAGCACGCGATTCAGCATCGACGATGCGCCGCCGCGCGAGGAAGCTGCTGCAGTTCCGCCGCGACAAAATCGGACGCCGATCGCTCGTTCGCGTCGCGCATATCTCTTCGTGCACCACCCCCGCCGCGCCGCTTCCTCTCCGCAGCGCGTATCGACACTTCACAGGCTAGAGACTACGAGGATCAACAATCGACGAACAGGACGACGCACCGAGGGATCTGCAATTTGCGAGAGAGCTCCGCGTCAGGGAAATCGGCGCGATCCGACTTCCCGACGCGTTCCGCTACTATAATCTCCCGCGTAGTAGAAGAGATCGCGACAACGGTACGTATCTCTCTAAGGTGAACCGGGTTGATTCACTATCGCCGAATGCACAGCCCGATTATCGGATTTTAGAAGAGCCTGGTCGAATTCCCCCGGGCGTAATGTCGCCGTAAGGGACTCGTTAAACTTGGGCACTAAAGCGCCGTTGTAAGCGCCGCTACTCGCCGGGATGAATTCCCCGTTTCGGCAAAGAAAGAGCTCGTCGGTCCGTTTCTCGTAACGTGTTGCTAAGCCAGATTTAGTCCCCGCCATGCAGTTTATGCATCCGCTGTCTTATATTACTCGGACAAGCACACCGTTTACCGCTGAATATAATATACGCGTGCAGTGACTTACGGATTAACGAGCTAAAAAAAAATCACAATACCGAGAAGTTATCTACTTAATGATTTAAAAAGAAATAGTTATATGATTACTTCGTCAACTGTGTTTTAACTCGCGTTGCAACTTCTGCCCACTTCTGTTTGCAATGAGAACAACGCCAGAAATGTACATATAATACTATTTGCTTTATTGACGCGCCATTTACTGTAATGCACGCGCGCGTGTAACGAGTGTCTAAATCCCCGGCAAATGCACGCATATGTAATGTTCTGTGATCGTCATTGTATTTCATAACACGTTGCGACGGTTGATCGACCCGCAGTCTTTAATAGGATTTCGCGGGATACCTGTCTGAAATTACCGATCGCGGCACGCGCGCGGGATCGAGCTGATCGCGATCCACTGATTTACGGGCGACGTCTCCGTTTTCATTCAGCGTGCAATTTCGTAGAAAATCGCGGATACTGCGCGAATCATTTATCGTTTGCGTTTTCGAATCGAGTGATGATTTACGTGGCTAATTGAGATATCTCGGATAATTTCGTACCGCCGCGTCGGCTGCCGGAGCGAGCGATTCGAGTACGCGTTATTCGCGACGGACGTGGGCATAAATCATCTTCGCGTTTCGTGCAAACGGACGGCCTTTTAAATTGATCGTCCCGGCAGGTCGGTCGTACTTGTGGATTGATACACCGATACGCGCTCTCCCCCGCGTGCCTCGAATATTAAAAAAGTCGTAAATTATCATTCTCCATATTCACGGTAATGTACGCTCGAAATAATAATCGGGACATCCAAGTAAATGCAGAGCAGAGTGAAACACCGCAGCCGAGAGATCGCGATATTATTGCTCGAAATAACTGAGAAGACCGTTTCGATTACGTTATGATTCCATGGAGTGTTTTTTCCCCCATTTTTTTGTGTGGAGGTCTTGCGATCTCGCGGAGAAGCGATGTTTTTCGCGGACCGGCGATTTTCCCAGGGCATTTTCAAAACGTTTCGTATTCTGAATCAATAAATGGCGAAATTCGCGTTATTCGCTCCGAAAATTCACGCGATATATTTCCATTCGTGTCGTCCGTTCAAATTAACGCCTCCTAACTTTCGTCGGTCGCCTTTGCGCGCGCGCGCGCGCGTCCTGATGTGCAAATGTTGATATTTCGCATTACGAGACGAGGTATAGAACCGGTAGTCCGCCCGTATAGGTAGACTAGGGTAGGTAGTACCCGCCGCCGTCAGAACGGCGGAGGCGGATGTCCGAAACTTACGGAAGTGGGTCACGACACGTATTTAGGCAGCAACCTCCGTATCTCGGTATCGGTTTATTCCCACCTGTAATCACCGGCCCGCAAACCTGGTACACAAAGTCCCTCGTGCATATGCATGGCGCGGCCGCTTTGTCCCGACGACCCTTGAACCGCTCGTCTACTCGCGTGTTGTTCCCTATGCGCTACGATTGTTCCCTACAGCCGCCCGACGGCGAGGGGGGGGCCCGCGTTCTCTCTCATCCCTGCCGCTTGCTCCGTACAGCTGGGGATCGAAATTCGGCGTTCGGCAAAAAAAAAAAAAAAGAAACGGAAAAGATAGATATCTCGACAACGCGTGTATCATCGCTGTTTATTTTAAGGACGAGCCGTACGGCACACGGGCAGCGAGCCATCACTTCGCCCCGTAAATCCCATTCACGTCAAATCACAAACTCGCGCGCACTCTTTTTGCACAGAGGACGAGGGAAAAGGGGGAAGAGCAAAGGCTGGACAGAGGAGGATGAAACCGTAATCCGTGCGTAGCGCGCGGATGCGTCGAGAGCATCGTTGGCAGGCTGGTCGTCGTGTTTCCAAAAGCGCGCGCTGAAACGCTCTGTGATGGAGGTGGATTAAAAAAAAAAAATCAAAAAAATAAAAGTAAAGCGGAACGAGAAAAATTCGCGCTCGCGTCACGAAAATCGAAGTGCATCCGCGAGAGGCAGCGATTGCGAGGATAATCGAAAGGGGAGCCGCGACGAGACACCCGACCCACCCTTCTTCCCGCGGCCGAGAGGCACGTGACGGGCCTCCGCGATCGGCACGCGAATTCCGGCAGCCGTCTGGAGCACGTGACGATCGATCTCGCGTGAGAGAACGAGTGCGATTCTCGTGCTTCTATCGAGAGCATCGCGCGTCCCTTTCGGACGCGCGGGAAGTCTAGCTGCGCACGGAAACCTTCTGCAAGGAGATTCTCGCGATTCTCGGATATCGATGCAACGCGAAGTCGATCGACGACGAGCTCTCTCTTCGGTATCGTTGACAAGCGTAATTTCCCAGTAACAAAAAAATTCACAGAGTTGCCCAATGCTCGCCGATAATCGCTCGGCGCTTTGGCCCACCCCTGGAGGGGTGCTTTCTACCGAACACACGCGGGAAACTGCTCCAAGGCCGTCCACATCATCCCCTCTCACCGTGAGCGACGTTTCCTCGATGACGGCAACTACGTTTTCGACACTGCTTTCGCAAAATCAGTCCACCCTCTCTCACAGCACCGCAAGAAGGGCGAGCATCATTCGACGCACTGGGATCTCAGCGAATACCCGAGGAGCGCAGATTCGGGCAGATTCCACAACACCTTGGCGTCTCGCTTACCCGCGATGACGACGTGTACGAGGATCGCGAGGATGTCGTTCGCAACGTCACGTTACGACAAACGCGCAAGACGAACGCGACGGAACGCGACGGTCCGCACGGTATCGCGCGGTATATACGAGGCGCGGAACGACGAGCTAGCGAGCGAGCGAGCGAGCTTCGAGTGCGCGTCGCGCTCTCCCGCCTCTCTGGCTCCGCTCTCGGGACTGAGAGTGGAGAGAGAGAAGCACCGTCGGACTTTCGAGGGATCTACTGCCACCCCTACCGGCGTGGTGGCCGTTACCCCTGCCTGCCTCTCTCGGCAACCCGCGTGCTACGTTTCCCCTGCCGCGCCGACCCCACCACCGCGCGTAGAGATGCGCACGAGACGAGATAAATCTCGATCTTGTCTCGATCTCGTCTCGAAATCGAGACGAGATTCGAGATCGGGATTACTTATAATATTCGAGATCAATATCGAGATTCACCACATCAAGATCAAGATTATTGAAAATTCTCGTCAAGATCTCATTGAGATCTCGACAAAATATTTTATTATTTCACCGATCTGACGACACTATATGACGCTGTGGCTGCTGCACACATAAACCACGCAACGCCACAG